TAAATAAATAAATAAATAAATAAATAAATAAATAAACAAACAAACAGTACGAAAACAATACGACTCCCACTTACGCTTCACGTGCGGGGCTCATGATAATGAAAATGTGTTAGTGACATTTTTTTTAAACATTTTATTTATCTGTATCAATTCATTCACCTTCTACCTTAACGGTGTTAAAGGAAGGAAACGCGTTATGACTGTTCAGACTGAGGTCACCTCAAATACATCAGATATGTGTTTGATTTAGTTCCAGTTTTAAAAAACACCTGGCTTAGATCTGAAAACATTGGATTTGTCACATTCATAATATCATATAAAAATCAGACATGGATCCCAGAAGTGCAAAAAAAAATCCGATTTGCGGCACTTTTGCCTGCAGTGTGAACATCTGTGTTTCCTCTAAATTGGCACATGTTGTTCCCACCAGTACACAAACTAAATAAATCAATAAAAACGGCTTAAATGTTTCAACACAAACTTTACTGAGCTCGTTGAAAGAATCCCTAAGATTAGTTCTTGTGATAAAGTAATCCTTTCTTCTTGTCTCTGTAATTGCCATCCCATAATCCCCTGGTGGTTTTGTGTCTAAGGTCAACACACAGCTACACTCCTCCTGACTTTTAGACTCTTCTTAGAAAATAAAAGTCCTTCTGGTGCTTCTGTCAGTAATGTAATGAGAGCAGTGCACAGTGGTGACGATGTGACTGAACACAAAGACAGAAGATGAAGCTGAACTGGGGACAGAAAGTTTGTTCCATAAATAAAACTGAGACGATGAAAAGTTTGAAACTGAAAAAATGTGTATTTGAGACTAAAAAAATAGTTCGAAACTACTTGTCTGATTTTTTTGTTTTGTTTTTTACAGCTTCAGATGTTTGTTTTTTTAACCCCTGTTTTAAACTTCTGGTCTTATTTGACATGGGGGCGGGGCCTCAGATGACAGTGGGCGTGGAATCATGATTGACAGTTCAACGTGTCAGCTGGACAAAATACTCCCAGCTGTTGCCTTCAGGATCCATGGGAAATGGAGGTGTCTTTTATTTTTTTATTACTATTATTATTTTTTTATTTATTTATTTATTTATCTACTTTTTGCCAAAAAAAAAAAAGGCTAAGCTCTTTTAGGCTAAAAATAAATAAATAAAGAAAAAAAGGAAATGGAGGTGTCTTGAAAACATCATCCATATTCTACATTTAAATCATATTTCATATTTTAAAATCCATTTTTTTTCCACTGACTTTGTGTCGCGTGCTAACATAAGCATATTATATCAGTGAAGCATGTTATTTTTCCAAAACCAATTGCATAAACTTTTTTTTTGTTTCAATTCTATTTTTTTTCAACAATTTTCTTTCAGTTTATTTTTTTAGCTTTAACTTTAACTTTAAAGCACCAGTTTTGCTCCATAACAAAACTAGAATTTTTTAGTCAATTTTTTTCAAGTTTAAATGCATTAAATCAGTTATTAATCCTGTATAAATGTCAGCTCAGAACTGCCTCAGGATGCTGTTTAAATGAAAAAAAAAAACAATAAATCAGAGGGACGGGTGGAGAATGGCTCCGTCATAAAACAAAAACAAACATTTTCCTTGTTTTAACAACATTTTCCACTGTGGGAATTTTAAAACTGTTTCCCTGGATTCAGAAAAATGATTCAGGTGCATCATCACGGCTCTGAGACACCTCTGCTCCCTCTCTCTCTCTCTCTCTCTCTCTCTCTCTCTCTCTCTCTCTCTCTCTCTCTCTCTCTCTCTGTCTCTGTTTGCCAACTCACCTACTTCCCTCACTTTGTGGTCCATTAAATGTGTGAGCAAACACACACTTACACTGAGAGACACACACACCCATTTGTTGGGTGAATCATCGTCCAATAGATGTTTGAGATCAAGTAAAACTCTTACAGTAACACAGAGACACACAAAATGACAGATTGAAAGCAGGAGGACCGACACAAGCCCACGTCCACACTCACACACACACACACACACAAACACACACTCCTCATAGTGTTTTATTTTTGTTGAGGCTGGTAGATGGAAAAAAAAAAAGTAATTTATGCAGCAAGTCCTGAAAAAAAAAAGAGTGAGCACAAAGAGAAGTGAGCGCTGAGATGACGGGTCGCAGCAGAAAACAGGAAGTGGAATTTTCCTCTTTTTTTTCTCTTGTTTGTGAATTAATGCGATGAGTTTCTGTGAGAAATCCTCGCCGATGTTACTATGACAACAGATGAAGGAATATACCACTCTGCCGATGCTACCTGGGGGTGTTACAGGTGTTGGTGCGTGTGCACGTGGGCGGCTGTGTGTTGTTGTCAGCGGGCGGAGCGTGGTGGGATGAAACTGTGAGCTCTTTCTTTTTTTATTTAGACAAAACAAAGAGCGAACACTGACTTATAGAGCACATTTCTGTTGTGCTCATATAAATGCTTAATGCCTTCATCAGAAACTCACCCTCCTGTAGAAGCAGTGGGTTGTATTAATGAGTCAAATCTTTGAAGGATATCGCCTCTCATGCCTTTACAGCAGGGGTCTACAACCTGCAGCTTGGTGCTGAAAGCGTCTCTGCTGGGATTCAGTGGGCACCAGCCCGACCTCTCTGAAACCAGAGCTTTCTGATTCATGCTCTGGGTACGGCTGGGTAATATTGACAAAAAATTAATCAGGATTAATTGAGGTATTTAGACGATAACGATTAATTTGACATTTAATCCCCTGGAGTCCCTGGACACTTTTATGTCCTATAGTCACATGACCAGTTTAGTGGGAAAGATTTGCTCTTCGGAAAAATCTGTTCCAAACTGTGTCAAAATTACAGACTTATATACACATCAGTTGGGTACATGACGGCCTGACGGGAAACGAAAGCACGGGGAACAGGAAACTAGTATCTTCCCTTCAAAATAAGAGCTTGGATTTTAAAGTTTCCCAGTTCACCTGAAACTCATCAGACTGAAGAAGTCTCTTGGAGGAGAGACGAAACGTTTCACTAAAGAAGAACCATCCAGAAGACCTACTGATTTTTTCTTTTGATTTTTTTCTACCTGGATCAGGACGTTTTCCATGTAGTTGCTCCAGTTGACCACTAGATGTCAGTCTTCACCAGCAAAACATCTTTAAATCATTTCTGAGTCTCTAACCCCGTTAGCCGAATTGCTTTTGAGCTCCAGCGTTTAAAATTTATTTATTTTTAAAAAGGAGCTCCGATTGAAAAGTAAAATAAATCAACACAAACAAAATTTTAGTATGGATTACAAACGTTAACTGTTTTTGCTGTTGCCTTCCTGCTACGTAAGCAGACACAAAGCATTGTGGGAAATCAGAACCGTGACCCAAAGCAACAGTCAGCAGGATGTATACCTTCACAATAAGAGTGTTTATCTGGGAGGGGTGCTGTTGGATAGATCACATGTTGTGATTCATTGACAGTCATACCTTCTGCTGTTCAACATAATGATGACTGGTAGATAATTAGTTATTAGTGGTACTGCATTTTAATTTTAGAAAACACAAATCCACTTATGAATTATAAAAATTAGTAAGACCGCTAAAGCGCAAATGAAATATTTAGGTCAGCAATTAGCAGATTTGTGCTTTAGTGGGCTGGTGCCCACCACTGGGTTCAAACCATCTATCGTTACAATTTTAAAACAATAATACACCTTTCAAGCTTTTGTGGGCCACATAAAATGCCATGGCAGGCCACATTTGGCCCGTGGGCCTTGAGTTTCACACATGCTTTATCAACTTTCGATCCCCATAAATCTCAAGCTGAGGAAACATATTCTCCTCTCATATCTCTAAAGTTTGACGCGTCCGTGTACGTTGGTTTCTGAGCCCAGACGGGTGGTTCCCGTCTCTCTGACGGAGTGGTAGAGGACCGTGCCATACGGGAGGAAGTGAGGGAAACACCTGACAGAAACAAATCACAGCAGCCGTCAGCCGAGTCACTCGCTGCAGAGGAAACCCTGCTGGATGCACAAATAACCTCTTACACACACGCACACACTAACGCGTGCACACACACACACACACACAGAGGCTGCCCTGATGAACCAATCAGTCTCCTGCTGTTCTTGGCCGAAGCGAACACACACACACACACAGACACACACACTGCTGCTGATGCACTTGAACAACATTGTGCTGCTCGTTTCATTGAGGGCTTGTTTTTCCTTAAACGCAGACATGTATGAATGCTCTGAGGGTTTTCCTTTGGCTCTCATCATGTTTTATTCATAGTTTTTATTTTTTTCTCGACACAAATAGAGTGGATGAGTGTATAGACGTGGGCACTAATGCCTGTTTGTGTGTTACATCTCACTGAAGCCAGCCAAACTTATTTCTGGCAAAGCTCCGTCTTGTCTTTGTAAAGTGCGAGCACGAACTCCTGGCTGTACGTCCTACACACCTCAGGAACGCTGCTCCACTCTCTTAACTCGACCTTTTCTCCTTTTATATCTCTTCTTCTTCTTCTTCTTCTGCCCCCTCCCCTGTGAGACCAGTGGCGCCTGCAGAAATGTTTTTATGGGGGCCACTGAAAAACCAGGGGTGGCACACCAAAACTAATAACAGGAAATGTATGTTGTGTTTGCAAAAATGACAAATTGAAAACTATGGCAATATGAAGCTATGGATTTGCCAACAGGTGTTCAATTTGTAATTTCACAGATAATATCACTGATTTTATGACATTCAAGAGTAAGTATTTGTAATGTTGGGGGGACCCATTGGTGGGGGG